TGTCAGCCCGTCCAATTCACACTGCTAGGAAATGTATCATGAGGTTTTAATGTTCAATCAATAAAGTATTAGATTTTAGCCCGCTGGCCCACCAGCCCGCCCAGTTCACACTGCTAGCCCGCTACACTGCTAGCCCGCCCACTTCACACTGCCAGGTAATGTATCATAACATTTTTATGTTCAATCAATAAAGTTTTAGATTTTAGCCCGTTCACCCGCCAGCCCGCCCAGTTCACACTGCTAGCCCGCTACACTGTCAGCCCGTCCAATTCACACTGCTAGGAAATGTATCATGAGGTTTTAATGTTCAATCAATAAAGTTTTAGATTTTAGCCCGCTGGCCCGCCAGCCAGCCCAGTTCACACTGCTAGCCCGCTACACTGCTAGCCCGCCCACTTCACACTGCCAGGTAATGTATAATAACGTTTTTATGTTCAATCAATAAAGTATTAGATTTTAGCCCGCTGGCCCGCCAGCCCGCCCAGTTCACACTGCTGGCTCGCTACACTGTTAGCCCGCCCACTTCACACTGCCAGGTAATGTATCATAACATTTTTATGTTCATTAATAAAGTTTTAGATTTTAGCCCGCTGGCCCGCCAGCCCGCCCAGTTCACACTGCTAGCCCGCTACACTGCTAGCCCGCCCACTTCACACTGCCAGGTAATGTATCATAACGTTTTTATGTTCAATCAATAAAGTTTTAGATTTTAGCCCGCTGGCCCGCCAGCCCGCCCAATTCACACTGCTAGCCCGCTACACTGTTAGCCCGCCCACTTCACACTGCCAGGTAATGTATCATAACATTTTAATGTTCAATCAATAAAGTTTTAGATTTTAGCCCGCTGGCCCGCTGGCCCGCCAGCCCGCCCAGTTCACACTGCTCGCCCGCTACACTGTCAGCCCGTCCAATTCAAACTGCTAGGAAATGTATCATAAGGTTTTAATGTTGAATCAATAAAGTTTTAGATTTTAGCCCGCTCGCCCCGCCAGCCCGCCCAGTTCACACTGCTAGCCCGCTACACTGCTAGCCCGCCCACTTCACACTGCTAGGTAATATATCATAACATTTTTATGTTCAATCAATAAAGTTTTAGATTTTAGCCCGCTGGCCCGCCAGCCCGCCCAGTTCACACTACTAGCCCGCTACACTGTTAGCCCGCCCACTTCACACTGCCAGGTAATGTATCATAACATTTTTATGTTCAATCAATAAAGTTTTAGATTTTAGCCCGCTGGCCCGCCAGCCCGCCCAGTTCACACTGCTAGCCCGCTACACTGTCAGCCCGTCCAATTCACACTGCTAGGAAATGTATCATAAGGTTTTAATGTTGAATCAATAAAGTTTTAGATTTTAGCCCGCTGGCCCGCCAGCCCGCCCAGTTCACACTGCTAGCCCGCTACACTGTTAGCCCGCCCACTTCACACTGCTAGGTTATGTATCATTACATTTTTATGTTCAATCAATAAAGTTTTAGATTTTAGCCCGCTGGCCCGCCAGCCCGCCCAGTTCACACTGCTAGCCCGCTACACTGCTAGCCCGCCAACTTCACACTGCCAGGTAATGTATCATAACGTTTTTATGTTCAATCAATAAAGTTTTAGATTTTAGCCCGCTGGCCCGCCAGCCCGCCCAGTTCACACTGCTAGCCGCTACACTGCTAGCCCGCCCACTTCACACTGCCAGGTAATGTATCATAACGTTTTTATGTTCAATCAATAAAGTTTTAGATTTTAGCCCGCTGGCCCGCCAGCCCGCCCAGTTCACACTGCTAGCCCGCTACACTGTTAGCCCGCCACTTCACACTGCCAGGTAATGTATCATAACATTTTTATGTTCATTAATAAAGTTTTAGATTTTAGCCCGCTGGCCCGCCAGCCCGCCCAGTTCACACTGCTAGCCCGCTACACTGCTAGCCCGCCCACTTCACACTGCCAGGTATGTATCATAACGTTTTTATGTTCAATCAATAAAGTTTTAGATTTTAGCCCGCTGGCCCGCCAGCCCGCCCAGTTCACACTGCTAGCCCGCTACACTGTTAGCCCGCCCACTTCACACTGCCAGGTAATGTATCATAACATTTTTTATGTTCATTAATAAAGTTTTAGATTTTAGCCCGCTGGCCCGCCAGCCCGCCCAGTTCACACTGCTAGCCCGCTACACTGCTAGCCCGCCCACTTCACACTGCCAGGTAATGTATCATAACGTTTTTATGTTCAATCAATAAAGTTTTAGATTTTAGCCCGCTGGCCCGCCAGCCCGCCCAGTTCACACTGCTAGTCCGCTAGACTGCTAGCCCGCCCAGTTCACACTGTTAGCCCGCTAGGCTGCTAGCCCGCCCAGTTCACATTGTTATCCCGCTAGACTGCTAGCCCGCTCAGTTCATACTGTTATCCCGCTAGACTGCTAGCCCGTTAGCCCGCGTACTTCACGGACATCTGCGTCGTATCATATTTTATTTTCAACTGCGTCGTATCATTTCGTAAAAATCATTATTTCCTTGGAAAATAAACATCTCTTTTTAATGAAATTTTAGTAAATGATGCAAAATTATATTTCGAAGTTTATGGTGAACTCTGAAACGAATATATAATTGATTTGAAGGAAAAAACGATAGATAAAGCAATATGAACTGCGTCGTATCCACACATTTTCATAAAAATTCTGCCCCGCTTCGAGATGCAAGTTCGCTATAACTTTTGTTTTACAAAATAGTTGTGCAAGCAACATATACCGAACGAAGCGGAAAATAGTGTAGCGTGTTAATACATATATCTGGTTTTCAGTCATTTCCAACAAAAAGAGTTATAAACAAAAACATACGTTTTTCGTTCCAAGATGGCGGCGTTTGTTTACATTATGTAGGATACGACGCAGTTTTGATTCCCAGCCCTGCCTTAGCTATGAAACAAAACATGTAGTAATTTAGTCATTTAATGCAGGGAGTTGCTGACTAAGTTTTTTCCAATATAACGATTAAAAGTCTACCTAAATTAAGTAAATCTATAGATATAAAAGTAAACAGTTTATTATTACTTACATGTACTTATAATTATTTTTATAGAAACCGAAAGTACACAATGTCTATTCGTTGATAATTTCGGTTATAAGTGTACCTTAGTGGGCATTTTTTTAAATTGAATATGATTTTGAATTAGCTACGTTTTTCATGAAGGCTATATGTAATATATACATGTTGGTTACTATAATTGGCGTCCGCGCCGAAGCGCGACGACCCTTATGGAATAAAACCAGATTTTGTTAAAGGGCAATTGCAACTTCTCGGGCCTTTAAGTCGGTCACAATAGCCGATTATTCCGATTGGTATGAGGGTGTTTGATTAATAATATCTGTCATATTTTGCGGTTCGGATCGGAATATCCGTCCCGAGGTGACTCGCCCATTGGGCGGTAACGAGGCTTGCCGAGTTACCGCCCATGGGCGGGTGACCGAGGGACGGATATTCCGATCCGAACCGCAAACATATGTCAGATATTTTTTCTTGCATATTCTACCATATTCCATTATATTTTAAATTCTTTATTTTTATTTTCAATGAAAATTTATATCATTACAACCGTAACTACTTTCATTCAACAGCGTATGAATTACAAAATCATTCATAACGGTAAAATGACGTCATCTTTATCGTGCCATTGTACAGCACGCGACTCATTTGGAACCCCCATGCCAGATGAAATTTCCGGCATGGGTAAAACTAACGGAAACGCCAGTCCGATATGCAAGAATACATAGAGAATTTCGCTATGCAAATATATTCCAATGAAATAATCTTTTCCGTCAAGTAATCGCGCTCTTCGGGGTTTTTTTATTTATCATTTTGCAGTACACAGTGGGTTATTATGGTATGTTATTGTTGTACATGGATCCGAAAGCTGTAAATAGAATGATGACCTTAACATTGTGAAAATCTATTTATAGAGGATGTACTATTCGCTGATCTCCTATCGGTAATTCCCGGTCTCTCCCGGTCTATTTTGACCGGGATATACTAGAGACCGGCGAATACTATCACACGTTTATTGTTCGGTCTCTCCTGGTTTTGGAGTAGATGTTTGATATTGTTACAGATAAATAAGTTTTTCCCCAAAATGAATGTTTGTCACTTAGTTTGGTTATAATAATTAATAAACACAGTATATATATGTTCCAAAGAAAATACCACATGAACTTGAAATTCTATCAAATCACCAATATTGATGATAATATCCAAAAATACCCTCTATATAGTATAAATAAACTTATACCATATGGGGAGTATATTTTGAATATCATTGGCCTGTATATTTTGGATATTATCGTTAACATTGATACAATTTCAAGTTCCTGTGGAACAAAAACAAGTTATATTCTAATCTCTAGCATGCCTACCAAAGTTCATAATGAAGAATGTCCGCTCATTCAAAAGTGATATACAAATCTGGTAAAAACTAATTAACCATTGAAAATTTTATAAGAATATCTTGTTCTTTTCATCATATGTCTACTAGTTCATCTTCACTTGCCGCATTTCTTGCTTGGACGCCCTTTGATGCTTTGCATCAATGCTTTTCTTGTATAATGTTAACATGAGTTCGCTGGCTGATTTGCAACACTTTGTGCGTTGCGTTGTCGATAGCGACAACACAACCTATATCGTTATCGCCTTTTCGTCTTGTACTGTCGCCAGCAAAAAGCGCCAAAATGGCGCATTGTCGCACTGTCATCTTGTCATTCTGTCGCTGAGGAAGCACACCAAACGGCGCGTGGTCGTGCGGTGAAAAGCCAATCCTTCGATTTGAGCCGAGCGACAATGTGACATAGCGACAATATGCCGCACGACAACGCGCCGTTTGGCGTGCATCGTTAGCGACAGGACGACAAGACGAAAGTCTGACAGCGCTGGCGACAACACGACGCACAAAACTGTTCCAAATCAGGCACCATATTGTGACATTTGGAATTCTTAAAGATAAAAGACGTATGTAATTTTATCTTACCAGTGCACCGTGTTTCTCCAAACGAATGAACCAAAATGAATACAAATACCAAAACACGACTCTGAAATGTTATTAGAAATAATTTATGCAATTGTTATCTAAGCGTGCAAATAAAGAACAGTAAAGATAATTTGTTTCTTGACTCTTGCTTAATTGACATATTTTCTCCCACTAAATGACATATATGTAATAAAAAGAGGATCGAAACGCGAGGTTATCTGATTTGTACGAGGGGCGTAGCCCCCCGAGTATTAATCAGATTGCCGAATGTTTTGATGTTCTTTCTCTTTTGTATCATAGTCAAACATAAAAGCACGTTCCCTGTTGTCACAATATGAAACCCCGGACAAAAAGGAACCAATTAATTAGCATCTTAATATGATAATTCTGTCCCTTTCCCTTTCTCTGCCGTCACAAAAATCCAGCAAAAATGAGCCAATCAATGGGCATGTTCTGGAGTGAGGGTAACTAATACCTGCACTTCAGTTAACGAACTGTGCATGTATATATATACGATTTAACTCTACACATTTTCAACAGAAAGGTCCCCAAAACTATGATACAATAACTAGATATAGTCGGAGAGCGAAACACGACGCTAGTTAATAGCGGTATCATTTTGTGCGGCTTATTCCAGACAACTAGAACTCCGCGAGTCGGATGTGTCGCCTTGTGAACAATGTAGTTTAGGAGTCTTGGCCAGGATAAAAAAGAAATATGAAAAATAACAAAGGGCAATAACTAAAAAAATAATAAGTGCAGAGCAGCAGTTTCTGTGCACTGCACTTCTTATCAATAAGATCTATCATTCTATGATGTTTCAAGTCCATAGCTTTCATACTTGAGGAGAAATGACCAGGACAAAAATAAAGTAAGAAAATCAACAAAGGGCAATAACTCAAAAAATAAGAAATGCAGAGTATCAGTTCTTATGCACTGCACTTTTTCTTAATGAGATCTATCATCCTATGAAGTTTCAAGTCCATAACTTTTATACTTTCGGAGAAATGGCCTGGACAAAAATTAAGTATGAAAATTAACAAAGGGCCATAACTCAAAAATTAAGAAATGCAGAGTACCTGTTCTTGTGCACTGCACTTCTTCTTAATGAGACCTATCATCCTATGAAGTTTCAAGTCCATGGCTTTTATACATTAGGAGAAATGGCCCGGACAAAAATAAAGTATGAAAATTAACAAAGGGCAATAACTCAAAAATTAAGAAATGCAGAGTACCTGTTCTTGTGCACTGCACTTCTTCTTAATGAGACCTATCATCCTATGAAGTTTCAAGTCCATGGCTTTTATACATTAGGAGAAATGGCCCGGACAAAAATAAAGTATGAAAATTAACAAAGGGCAATAACTCAAAAATTAAGAACTGCAGAGTACCGGTCCTTGTGCACTGCACTTCGGGTTATTGAAAGAAGCATGCATACCAAGTTTTAAGTCAATCAGACTTATAGTGACTGAGTTATGCTCCGGACAAGCTTTAGGGGACGCCGACGCCGACAACGACGCCGACAACGACACAGACGCCGCCAACAAAAGTAACCCCTATATGTCACCTTTTCAAGGCGACACAAAAACTGATACACCTGTATGTATTTTGACAAATGAACACATAAAAGGAAGTAAAAACATACCCTTGTAATTAACATCTTGTATTGTAGAAAGATTTTCACTATGTAACAATCGCAATTATTTAATAATGACCTAATTAATAAGGAAACTCTAAAGAGATAACATGACCTTAGTAGACAAAATTGTAACTTGATAACCGTGACACGAAGACATCAACCTACTTTTGATGGCCAAAAGTTTATCACGTGATTGTTTAAGTTAAGGATGGTAACATACATGTATTCATGAACTTTGATTTGAATACGGTGTGTCTATATCAGCGAACTCAGAAATAATCCATTCTAACTACCGACAATCTCGCATAGGTAAAACCACCAATTTTGCTGAGATTGTTGTCATCCTGGGAACAACTTGAAGCTCCCGGGTAGCTCTAAGTACATTAGCCAGGACCCGTTGTTGAAAATACTTTTTTCTATAACATGTCAAAATTTTAATACATTTTGATAAAAAAATATCGGTCTGACCCGTGAAAATCGATTTATATTGATGCGAAAAAAATATAGATAACCACTCAGTCCGATATCATTTCGATTCTAGCTTGACAAAATAAGGAAGATCCGCCGCCTTCTCCTATCTGGCTGTTCTATTCCGCACCCTACATCCGTTAAAGTAATCAAAGGGCTGCACGCTCTGTGGTATTTTCATCTTTGCATCTATTTTTAATTTTGGATCTTTGCAATCTAAATCGTACTGTATATATATATATATATATATATATATATATATATATACATTGTATATATATATATATATATATATATATATATATATATATATATATATACATTGTATATATATATATATATATATATATATATATATATATATATATATATATATATATATATATATATATATATATATATATATATATATATATGTATTTTCCTGTATAAGTTTATTCTTATATACTATAATTCATCATACAGGGCATCGAGATGCAGCGACTGCGTTTAGATTTTTGAGTTTAATACATACTGAATTTTGCATGACTAGAGTTACATCTAAAAATCATTTATGCTAATTCGTTTGACAGTAACACTTATCCTTGCATATCGTGGCTACTTCCTTAAAAATGACACTTAAAAAATGGAATTTCCATTTCGGGTTTGTAATCCTTATTCAATTTGAGGTATTTTGTTCACGATAAACCTGTTGTTTATCACTGATGTAAACAAGAGCCAGTTGAACCTGGTGATGCTCCCCGAATAGGTTTTGAACACAGTAAGGTTTACCTCTTGTTGTGTCAGAGTTATGTCACGGACAAAGTTCAAGTGTAAAAACAACCCAAATGTTGCGCGCGACACGACATCTCAATATGGTGATCATTTCTGTATAAAAGTTGTTAAATCCGACTTCATATAACGAAGTTATGGGCCGGACACGATTTTTATGCAAGGTCAAGCTGTGACATTGACCTTCAAGGTAGCGACCCAAATTTTGCGCGCGACACGTCGTCTCAAAATGTTGATCATTTCTGTGAAATAGTTGTAAAATCCGACTTTAAATAACGAAGTTATGTGCCGGACACTATTTTGTTGCAAGTAATGCTGTGACCTTGACCTTCAAGGTAGCGACCCAAATGTTAAACACGACACGTCGTATCAATATGGTGATTATTTCTGTGGAATTGTTGTAAAATCCGACTTCCATTAACGAAGTTATGGGCCGGACACGAATTCGGAAAGTCCGTTCGTACGGCGGACGGACGGACGGACAACCCGACGACTATATCCTCCCCCGAATTTTTTCGGGGAGCATAATAATTTAGCGTAAATCTTCTCGCCAAAACAGTCCGACATGTATATATTCCACTATACGACAGTCAGATTTATTTGTGTAATACGCTCATGATAAACCTGTTGTTTATCACTGATGTACAGAAGAGCCGGTTGAACCGGATGACGCTCCCCGAATAGGTTTTGAACACAGGAAGGTATACCTCTTGTGGTGTCAGAGTTATGTCACGGACAAAGTTAAAAACACAGGAAGGTATATATCTTGTAGTGTCAGAGTTATGTCACGGACAAAGTTCAAGTGTAAAAACAACCCAAATGTTGCGCGCGACACGACATCTCAATATGGTGATCATTTCTGAGTAAAAGTTGTAAAATCCGACGACTTCATATAACGAAGTTATGGGCCGGACACGATTTTATGCAAGGTCAAGCTGTGACCTTGACTTTCAAGGTAGCGACCCAAATTTTGTGCGCGACACGTCGTCTCAAAATGTTGATCATTTCTGTGAAATAGTTGTAAATTCCGACTTCAAATAACGAAGTTATGTACCGGTCACGATTTTGTTGCAAGGTAATGCTGTGAACTTGACCTTTAAGGTAGCGACCCAAATGTTGAGCACGACACTTCGTATCAATATGGTGATCATTTCTGTGGAATTGTTGTAAAATCCGACTTCAAATAACGAAGTTATGGGCCGGACACGAATTAGGAAAGTACGTACGTACGGCGGACGGACGGACAACCCGACGACTATCAGATTTATTTGTGTAATACGCTCTGAAGTATTCGGTAGTCGACATTGCTAAAAATAGCATTTTTATTTATTAAATTGATATTCATCCACACAATTTGTAATTGTGCATTTATTGACGATTCTGTAAGCCAACGCTACTTTTAAAAATTGAATGCGTTGTAATTTGTTGGATACTTGTAACAAAATAGAAATATTTCTTACTTTAACATCGCTAGTTTTAAGCTATTTTGAGAACTTCTTGTTTTTAGGTTTGTCGTAAAATTATGTGCCAGAGATTGAATGTCAGCACTGTATTTTCTGATCTGTGATCAGAAAATACAAAAAGGAAAAGAATCACTCTTTTTATACTGTATATAAATATACTCATTAGAATGCAAATAAATTTCTAGAATTCTGATTGGCTTCAACAGTTTTTATACGATACACATGTACCACGAAGAACCGAAGTGCGCACAAATAACAATGTATTTCAACATCGTAGACCGAAAACTAAGTATGTGAATAAAATTTATTATTGATTTTCGTTCTTTAAGGCATATTTCTCGCTTTAAATGTCAGAACTGTAAAATGTAGTTAAAAATTAAACCGTAATTGTGACACTTTACATGAATTACGTTTTGTTTTGTGCAGCGTTCGCCTAGGCGTGGAACGGCTGACACCATCTTCTTACCCGCGTTTCTTTGAAAACAGTGTAAAAATGCTGGGAGTTCTTATGAACGTGTCGTCAATAAAAATTTGCGTTATCATAAATTCGCTATGTAAAGTTATAAACATTATCATGCACAGATGTTGTAAAGAGAAGAAAATACCACTATATCCAAAGGAACAAGAATTAGTAACAGAGTTACCAACGTCCCCCGCCTCGAGGACGTTTTATATGAAGCATAAAATTGTGCTATTTCAAAAGGTTGAGGTATGGATCTAAGGACTTTCAGTCCAAAATTATGATCAATGCTAGATCTGCAAATGCAACAATAAATTTATTAAAGAAATAAAATGAATGTTCAGCTTTGACCTCTTAGTGTGACCTTGACCTTAAAGGTAGGGGTTCAGGTGTTGTGCATGACGTATCGTGTTATTATTGTAACTATTGAAATACCAAAATCCCTGAACTATGAAGAAGTTATAGATGGGACACAAAATATACCCCCTAACAGACTATGTTAATCTTTGACCTCTTAGCGTGACCCTGGAGGTTGGGACCCATGTTTTGGGCTTGATATATCCTCTTATTATTGTGATTATTTGTGCATAGTATTTTTAAAATCTCTTGATCTATGAAAAAGTTGGACACAGAATACTAGTATACCCTATAACAGACTATGTAAATCTTTGACCTCTGCATGTGATCTTTACCTTGGAGGTAGGGACACTGGTGTTACACGTGACATATCATCTTATCATTGTGACTATTTGTGCCAAGTATTTTCAAAATCCCTTGATGTATGAAGAAGTTATGGACGGGACACAAAATATACCATATAACAGACTCTGTTATCTTTTGACCACTTAGTGTAACCTTGACCTTGGAGGTCTTATTATTGTGACTATTTGTGCCGAGTTATTTCAAGATCCCTTGAACTATGAATAAGTTCTGGATCGGACTCAATATATACCCTTTAACAGACTATGTTAATTTTTGACCTCCAAATGTGACATTGACCTTGGAGGTAGGGATGCAGGTGTTGCGCATGACACATTGTCTTTTTATAGTGACTATTTGTGCCAAGTATTTTTAAACTCCTTTGATATATGAAAAAGTTATGGACTGGACAAAAACTATACCCTATAACAGACTATGTTAATCTTTTACCTCCAAGTGTGACCTTGACCTTGGGGGTAGGTGACCAATTGTGGTGCATGACACATCATCTCATTATTGTAAACAATAGTGGCAAATATTTACAAAATCCCTTCAAAAATAAGAAATTTATAGACCGAACACGACATTTACCCTCAAATAGATAATGTTGACCTTGAATGATGAAAAGCGACTTTGACCCTGGAGATAGGGGTCTGGTTGTTGCGCATGACACATCGTCTTATTATAACAAACATTTCAAATTCCTTTGATAAATGACAAAGTTATGGACCGGACATGAAATATACCCTTTTACAGACTATGTTAATCTTTGACCTGCAAGTGTGACCTTGACCGTGAAGGTAGGTGACCGGTTGTTGCCACATAATTACTTTCCTGTGAGTGCGGACGGACGGACAGACGGAGGAAGCCTATTTTTGTATCCTCCTTTTTTTCTTCGAAAAGGCGGGGGACAAATAAAAACGCGATGTTACGATGGTGATAAGGCGATGGCGCGATAGCACAATGCAGAAAACGTGATGTAACATCGCATTTTTACCATCCTAGCATCCCGTTTTCACCATTGTGCAATCGCTCTTTCACTATCGTACCATCGCGATTTCACCATTGTGCCATCGTGTTTTCACAATTGTACCACCGCGAAGGCACAATGGTGAAAACGCGATGGTATGATTGTGAAAACGCGATGGTGCGATTGTGAAAGAGCGATGGCACGATGGTGAAAACGGGACGGTACAATGATGAAAACGCGATGGCACGATGCTGAAAGCGCGCTGGTAAGATGGTGATAACGCTATGGCACGATGATGAAAACACAATGATACGATAGTGAACACACGATGGCGCGATGGTACAATGGTGAAAACGCGATGGTTCTAAAAAACATAGCGTTTTCAAAATCGTACCATCGCAATGTCACCATCGTTCCATCGTGTTAATTAATAGATGTAGTCATGGTGTAGAAAATTGACGTGATCATGAAGAAGATACATTATGTGATCGTGGTGTAGATAATTGATATGTCCGTGGTGTAGATAATTGATGTGATCATGGTGTAGAAAATTGATGTGGTCATGGTGTAGATAATTGATATGATGACATGGTGTAGATAATTGATGTGATCGTGGTGTAGATAATTGATGTGATCGTGGTGTGGCTAATTCATGTAATCGTTGTGATGATAATTGATGTGATCATTGTGAACATAACTTATGCAATCATGGTTTAGATAATTGATGTGATCATGGTGTAGGTAATTGATGTGACCGTGGTGTAGATAATTGACGTGATCATGGTGTAGATAATTGATGTGATCATGGTGTAGATATTTGATGTAATTATTGTGTAGATAACTGATGTGATCATGCTGTAGATAAAGGATATTGTAATTGTCTGGATAATTGATGTTATTGTGGTGTAGATAATTGATGTGATCGTGGTGTAGATTTTTGATGTGATAATGCTTTAGATAATTAATGTGATTGTGGTATACATAATTGATGTGATCATCGTGTGGATAAGTGATGAGTTTGTGGTATACATAATTGATATGATCGGGGTGCAGATTATTGATGTGATCGTGGTGTAGATAATTGATGTGATCGTGGTGTAGATAATTAATGTCATTGTCATGATTGTGGTGTAGGTGATTGATGCTGTCGTGGTGTAGATAATTGATGTGATCATTGTGTATATTTTTGATGTGATCATGGTGTAGATAATTGATGTGATCATGGTGTAGATATTTGATGTGATCATGGTGAAGATTATTGATGTGATCATGGTGTAGATATTTGATGTGATCATTGTGTAGATAATTGATAAAATTGTGGTGTAGATAATTGGTGTGATTGTTGTGTTTTTTTTATTAATGTGATCTTAGTGTGGTAATTGATATGTAGATAATTGATCTGATCATGGTGTAGTAAATTGATGTGATCATGGTGTAGATAATTGATGTGATCATGGTGTAGATAATTGATATGACTTTGGTGTAGATAAACGGCTTGACTAATATTGATATACAACAATAATCAAATTATAGACATATACAAAGAAAGGAAAACATACCATTTTTCCTAACATATTGCATACAATTACTTCGAAAGGCTTTTTCACTATGTAACACTCGCTAAAATTAAATGACCCTTATTGATAAGGAAACTAGAATGAGATAACGGAACCGAATTAGTTGAAAATGATTATATGAGCCGTGTCATGACAATCCCTAAAACAAGTAGAGAAACTGATAGCGAACAGCATGGACCCTGATCAGACTGCGCGGATGCGCAGGCTGGTCAGGATCCATGCTGGTCGCAAACCCATTATCACGTGCGCACGCAATAGTTTTACGTGACCACACGAAAAGAATTACGTACGCGTGCGCACATGCATATAGGTTGGCAACGTAATGGTTTTTACGTGCACATGCAAAAGTCGCGTAATACTATCACGTGCGCTCGTTTAAAATTAGCTATCGCGTGCACACGCTATATCCATGGCTTTGCACGTAGTAAATAAAATATTTCTATAACTTCTTCATGCCACCGTAATTTCGTCAGCCGATTTATGGTAGCGCAAGCATTCAATCGGATGGTTTATTTTTGAAAAAATGAAAAAGACAGACAACAAACACCGATCCGATACATTGTACTTAATCCCTTATTTTATTAATGGAAAACTGAATCTCTCCAATCTGTTTAGCTCAGTCACAAATTTTGTAACGGCATATGAAGAAATTGTTATTGAGAATTTTTATTAGAATGTTTTAAAGGGATATACACAATCATATTTTAGCGTTCCAAATTATCTCTCTTACATTTGTTTCAGGTACTTTCACATAGGTATACTTAAAACATACACCGATATCTTGCAACAGTTTTCACTTCTCATTACCTCAAATATGACAGGAACGGCTATAATCTACATACCACATTTAGGCATCAACACAACACGTAGTTTTAATCAAAGTTTAGAATACAAAGTAACGGGTGACACCATAACCAAAGTAAATACAACAGTGGAACACAAGGGTATGTATATATACACGTTACAACAGATGTCGACGTCACTATTACTGTTATGAAATACTCCAGCAATACATTGGAAGGTTTTTGGCACTTCCAACTGACATGTTGTCTACTGAATACATAATATCGTCGTATCAACCATATCACAGCACCATATATAGTGATTTTCTAGTTGTTGCTTACATGCTTACATGACGACACCTTCATCAATATACATGTCGATAAAAAGATATTAAGTGTCAAGTTGAATAGACTTGATACGTATCTTGTTCGACGACATGACGATTTAAGTGGAGCAAGAGTTAGCAGCAATACATCTGTCGCCGTCTTCTCTGGTCACGAAGCTACATCAGCACCAATAAAATGCGGAAATAGAGGAGAATATTTTGTAGAGCAACTTTTACCCACCAAACATTTCGCTCAAGAATTTATCGTTCCCCCGGTACCGCCAAAATCACAATATGTAGTGCGAATATATAGTTCATCTCAAAACACGTCTATAACATTTCGTAATACAACGAATCAAAATAAGCAGCTCCTTTTGAAAGCTGGTGATTTTCATGAATTTTTTAGCGGCAATGACGCAATGTATGTTTTTGCAAACCAACCTGTTCAAGTCATGTTGTACGTACATGTCATTATGAAAGTAATATTGGCAACGGGTTCATGTCTACAGTACCGGCAATCAATCAATATAGAAACTCCTATCATTTCTCTGTTATTGCAACCAATGAAAAGTTTACTCATTATCTTACAATCATTGCAAAAACTGAGGATATATCTGGACTTAGAATCAATGGAAACCAAATGGGAAATATCTTTCAAAGCTATGTGACACACGCAAACAATGAGATGCTTACTGTTAATGTATACAAATTGTCAGCCGGTGAATATCATCTGTATCACGTGACCGGTAGAACATTTGGAGCAATACAATATGGCTTTTATTTATGGGTTGCTTACGGATACCCATTGGGGATGGAGGTTTACAAAGGTAATGCAATTACCTTTTTTGCACAAAATCATTACTAAATAAATGATAATAATCTACATAATCTGATAATATTGTTATACAGCTTATTTTATTCTATTTAGTAATACATACAATATGCAAGTGAGGAATTCTTTATTACAACTCTCTTGATATTCTACCATGATATTATGGTAATAACATCATATTTACCGTTTATAAAAAAAATTCATTAGACATAATTATACTGAATATCATGTTGTAGTAGCTTTTGAGGTTTTATGTTTGCTACTCGCAACAATGGAAAATTTGTATCTCTCGAGACCGAAGGCCGAACAAGACGTAAAATTTCCAACGCTGCGAGTAGAAAAAACAAAAAACAAAAACATGACTGCAACATAAGTTTCCTTTTATTACATGAAATCTACTTATGCGTTTAAAGACAAAAAAGAGTAAAAGCAGAATACTAAACTTCTATTAGTAGTTCGCAAAATTAATTAAAACCTAATTACATTGTCATTGTATTACTCAATTATATTTTTTTCCATATTTTTTGGTTATCAGAGAGCACGGGGAATGACAGACTAAGGTGTTTCGACTGTAAAGATATGACTCATTTGTACCTCTGTGACACCGTTACTAAATGTTCGAGCGGCCAGGTATACATTTTACTTTTTACATTTTCATATCATTACCATTTGTCGACCTGGCTTATAGTTACGTTGACACTGTAAACAGCAAACTTCGACTTTCAAGCTTTAATGGTAAAGAACTTACGTGTACTTATGTGTTTTAATGTATATGTAACTGCTATACTAAACATGTACATTGTTGTCGCAAGTGCTCTACATAGGGCCGCACTGCAGATGTTGAAATGTATTAAATTCACGAACTTGCAATTGCAACTTTGTATGAAAATAAAATCTAAACCTTTTAATTACATGTACATATTAATTAAAATGACGTACTATGGTGCAAAAGTTAGAGTTATGTGTACACTATTCCGTAAAGGTCTGACAACAAAAAGCGCGAAGTACGACCGTACGATGGTGATAGTTCGACTGTCTGATGACAAAGTGCGGCAGTTCGATGTTGCAGATCATCGTACTGTCGCGCTTTACCATCAATCTGTACCCTAACGGAACACCGTAGTTATGGCATGCAGTCTGACCAGTACGGTGTTCCGTTTGGGCCAGCGCGTTTTCTCTGAGAACAAAAAGCCGGAAGCATGACAATACGATGGCGACAGTATGGTGGTGATAATATCACAGTACGATGGACTGTTGTCGTACTGTTGTGCTTCGCGCTTTTTCACAGAAAACGCGCTGGTCCTAACGGAACACCATAGACCAGACATACGATAGGCGACTTTTCTTTTACATTCTTAACATGGAATGTGATTTGTATTTTCTAAGGTATGTCATGTGGAGACATATAGAACCAACAGTGGATAGGTGAAATACAACAGCGGATGCCTAACCTCCGAGGTAAACAAACAAAAACACATACATTTATACATACACACGCACGTACATTTGTACGCACACACACACACACGCATGAACACACACACACACATTGTTAACTATTAAAGGTTTTCACCATACTATACATTTAAAGAAAACGATTTTTTTTCAAGCTTGTCCTCCATTAAAGGGCCAGGCTATGATTGAAATGTTTTTATCCCCCGCCGATGGTATCTGGAAGGGGATACTGTTTTGTCATTGCCCGTCCGTCCATATACGTCCGATCTAAGGATAAACATTTTGTGTACAACTTAATATTTTAATGTTTGTTTCGAACAAATTCTTGGGTTAAAACATATTTTGGGGGTCGAGAAAATTGCTTGTGGTATTAATTGAGACCAAATGAGATCAAAGGAACAGTTCCATAATGACTATCTCCGAAGAAATACCGTCCATCCTTCCGTCCGAATTACGTTTCTCAGAAACTACTGTTTGGATTTCATTAACACTTTGTAGGAACATTCAATACTAAATGAGATGCGCATCCATCATCGGCATGCCCCAAACGGAATATCCAAAATAGGGTTATTGCCCAAATTTACTTATATTGTATATTTAGAGATACTCATCGGCAACTGGTTACTGGCTTCAACGAATTTTCATGAAAGCCATCAATACTTTTCAATAAGTTTATTTATTCGTGACTTTGACCTATAAATGAACTTTACCTTCCAGAACAAATTATTGATTCTTTTTTGCTTAGATATGAAATATCTTTATTATCTATTAACTGTTTTTGAATATATATTTGGACAAAAACAATGCTATAGGAAAGAGAAACTAACATGGTCAAATGTTAAAGAATGAACTCGTCCATATAATTTTGCACTTGTTGTGATTAATAATAACCCGTATTCAGCGGGGGATATAAAGTAAACGAATTACAAAAAATGTATATTGTAATTAACGGTGATCAAAGTGAACATTCACAAATTCATTCAAAAGATACATAGGATGATTTTAATGTAAATTCAAAATGTGTAATATGAGGAAAAGTCTTTTTTCAAAACAAGTTGTGATTCATTTTACATTAACAGCAATGTTCTAGTAAGAAACGGCAAACAAGTCAGAGTCAATCCGAATGTGTACACTGCTGCTCTTCATCACTTTGTAATTCAAACGGCTGTGGAGCTGAGGGTAAAGAAAACAATTTTTTGACGTTTTTGTTACTTGCAGTCAGTAACCATAACAAGTTTATATGTAATAACTATTAATATACATAGATGTTTTTCTTCGTAATACTCAAACGGTATCAATAGAAAATATAATGGTGCGTTGTTAATGTCTTTAATGGTGCGGTATAAATATCTTGTTCTGCTGCAATCGTAACAACTCGGCTTTCTCCGGTGGCTTCTTGTAGTAGCCCGAGGTTTTCCGATTGGTTCTGCTGTCACGCAGCGCTGGCAAAAAAGGAAAAACCGCCAACAATTTAAAACGGAATTCTGTCTTGTCTCGCGCTGTCAACAAAAGGCGAAAATATGCCCAACAAGTTTAAAACGTCCTGGTGTTTTGCAGGACTTCATAGTTTAATGATTATAGTATGCCGATCATATCATTGTTTCGCAGGTTTGCCTCCCCCTCAACTACGAGGACCGTTATGCTACGACTGCTCGTATGTTTCTAATATGGATGAGTAAGGCTGTGTTCCAAAGACGAAGTAAGACACCATTTTTCCACACTTTTTATTTAACTTGTGCATAACTATAGAAATCATTGAAAAAACATCAATGTTTGCAGATAAAAATTTTCTCTCCCCCCTGTTAGTTTAATAAAAAAAGACATTTTATTATTTATACTTTGGTTACGCTCCTAGGCATCAGTCAAAGATTTCAATGTCGTAAAGAAGCGAATATTTTGATATGCTCTTTTTTACAAAAAAAAAGCTTCAAAATTATCAATCATGAACGTGGTTTCCTTTTACGAAATAAACAAAAACAAATTTTATATTGTAAGTTCCTTATTTAGAATGAGCGGGCAGTTGAGTGACGAAGAAACTTAACATAAATTGTCTTTTAATATTTTTTATTTTGTTTGTAGGTTTGTAGCATAGAGAAGTATGACTGGGGTGGGGTATATGACCATTACACAGCAAAATGTCATAACAAACAGGTACTGGAAAAAATAAACCACTTTAGCGTTGTTGTGAATGCCTTGTCCTCATGGAAAATTTGTTCAGGTTTTGCTTGTGATGAAAAAACAGAAACTTCACTTTAAACGGTGCTGTGGACATTTGACATGTAACACCACTTTTATTCCATTAACTAATTCAACAAATCTAACGATTTTTATTTACTTTTGCTTTTCATTGATCTCAAAGGTCTCCAAATAATAAAATCATTGCTATGACGATCTGATTTTGTATTAAAAATTCATCTTTCCTTTTTTGACAAATGTTATTTAAGCCTTTACACTATAAAGTCATTTTCTCTATGACTGAACAAATAAATAAAACAGAAGAGGTTAAGAGACTCTGTTTCTTTTATTTACATCTTTAGAATCAAGGTCTTACTTAAATTTATTATTAGATAAAGCTAAATTAGATAAAAGGTTTTATCTGGCCCTGTCCAATTTAATCTAAGTGTCCCCAAATTGTGAAACACTCACTGAAGATGTATCGCTTGAACCTTATTAGTTCTTTACAGTATGTTCTTTGTTTTGACTTTTAGTTATGGCGAATAGATACTTTTTTCGTATATATGTCTTTCATCTAAATATAGGCCCTATAATTTTGCCGAAACTAAAACTTAAAAGATGATCCTATTAATATTTAGAAACAATACGAAAATAGTTTTTAGTTGGGACGTAGTCCCAACTAGTGCACTTACAAACCCGAAATTTCCAACCATACAGGGTAACGCCCACTGCTGTGACGTTTCATCGCCACTCTAAATGCTATATTGTATTCTAACATATCAACGTAAGCTGAATTCATAGTGATCACCCGACCATGACCGACGCATAACCGCCGCGAGTGAAAAATAGTGCTCTGAATTTCTGAAACTTCCATTTATTGCGAACAGAAGTGGAGACAAGAAATTTATTTTTTTGAAAAATAATGTGCAATTGAGCTTGAATTACGGTATTAGAAACGTAGCGGATATAATTTGAAAAGGTCACATAATTCTATGAATGGGATAGTAAATTAATTGGGTCATAGTGCTTGACGGCTTGCAATATTTAACTTACTCATCCGCCTTATCATCACATTTTTTTGTATTATATTCCAGAATTTTTGAAAAAAGACATTATTTATCGGATAAATTTTGTAGTTTATAATTGCAAAGTGGATATTGAAATAGAATTAGCCAGAGATGTAGATAATCTATTCGTCTCTGAATTAGCCGATAATTAGGTTAAATGAATCCGACAACTTCCGGTATATTTTTCGACCTACTTCACAAGCATAATTATCAGCCTGTTAAGCTCATAAGGTATGTTATAAAGCAAAATATGTTATGAATTTGATGACTAATAATATTATGTTTATTTATTGATGCCCATTTGTTTCCGAGGACTAAAACTTTCGTAAATAATTTCGAAGTAATTTGGAGGGGTCTCTCTTATGGCCATCAATCGCTACAGTGATTGTGGGCCATAAACCGCTGGGTACTAGAACACTAAATATGTGTATTTTCTTCCTCGGTCCGCCTATCATACAGCTTATTACGGTACGTTTAAAAAGTATTGTAGAACTCTATCAAATGGAAAAAAAATCTTAAAAACATTACATATAAAGAACAGTGGTGAACGTAACGAATGGTTGTCCAGCCAGACTTATTATGATAATTCGTATATAATTGCTTCTTATAGTCCCGTGTAAAAAACTTAAATGCTGGCAGTTATAGACTGTCTATTTGCTTGTGGACAGCGACATATGGCCCATGTAAAAACTGAAACGACTTTAGTAATAGGCTATATATTTCTCTTGTAGGTAGCCACGTATGGCCCCGTTAAAAAACCTTAAATATCGGCAGTACTGGACTGCCTATTCGCCTGGGGACAGCCACATATGACCCCATGT